TTGCGATGGCAAAAACACGTCCCAGGAAAGGGTGTCCTACCAAAGTAGTCTGATATGGCACGCCGCGAATCAAATGCCCTCCGAAGATGACAAGCAACGGACTAAGACGCGAAGCGTACGAACCAAACCGCGCGTTCCGTTCGTAAGTTAGGAGTCGAGGGGAGGGGGAGCGGCAGAAGGTGGGCAGGGTGGTGGGAGGGTGCAAGGCTTGCAGCTGGCCCGATAAAGAGTGCCCAGGATGGGAATCTAGTAGGGCAAACAGAAAAACCAAAAAGTCGATCGCAGAGCTCAGCAATGGCGGCGGATAGAGATCAACTGGTTGCAAATATCGAGGTCGATTTCGGGATCGGGAGTTTGGTGTCGTCGTTGGGTCTCCTCTGGCTAGGCAGGGGGGTGTAGGATGGTAGTCTATGAGTGCGGGCCAAGGCCACATGATTGGCACGCAGGGGGGTCGGGTGCCACTCCGTGGGCACTGGGGGGACTGTGAGTGGCCGTGTGTCCAGAGGCTTGCCTGGCCGCAGCTGTTGCGAGGCCAAGTTTCACTAGGTGACAGCCGTGCTGCACGGCTACGAACGTTGAGTGAAGTGACTAACTACATGTCAGTTGAGCGCTGGCTCGGCAAGCTGTGGCTGGTTCTTCCCTGGTCGACTGGTCTGGCATTCGCAGTGCCGGCCGCCGCTTGGGTTCGGGCTTTTGCACTCTCCTGTGGGGACGAACCGTTGCAGCTGCTTCGTCCGACCTGTCCATGGCCTCGCTGGTCTTTCCTTCCATGTTCTTTAACTGGTCACTCCGATTACCTGTGGTTACATGATGCGCATGGCATGCATGGTGTGCATGGCTCTCGCGGCCGCATGTATCACCGGCATGGACTACCGCTGGATGCAAGATGGCCCATTCTCTCGACGTCCAACCCCCCCGGGCCTATTCGCTAGATGATCGTCCATGGATGTGTTCTTTTTTCGGGCTTTGCGGGAACGCGAACATGGGTAGCGGCAGATGTGAAGCAAGGCAGATGTGCTCCAAGTACCTACATATGGCACTCGCGCTTGCATACGGAGCATTCGATCCTAAAAAGTCGTGCATACTCCGTACACGGCAGTCAACCGACACACGTTCTACCTTGCATGGACATGGTCATGGCTTGTTTAGTAGTATGTACAGTACAATTAATGGGACCGGGAGTTGACTCTGCTGCCGCCGCTGCTGCCGCTCACAGGGGAATCGTCGGGATATTGTAGCCTCATGGCTTCCAGAGCTCATGCATGTATGTATGACTTACGCATATACGCACGGGAAGTCTCCGCGGTCGACCCATGTACTATCAAGGAGAAACACTAAGGGTGACCTGGATATTTAGTAATATGGCCGCGGCTGAAGGGGGCTGGAAGGATATGATGACAGTTTGTGCCAAGATGACGGTGTTTAGAGGAGTGTCCGGGCAGGCATCTATCGAATATCAGGCCCAAATATGACAAGCCTCGGATGTCCTTGTGGAATTATGGCATCAAACAGCTCTCGATAACAATGACGCAGGAACCCAGGATTTTGGTCACGACAACCCAACATCCATTATAAATGGCATCGTCGCAAGTGGTAGACTGACCTTGGGCGGCGGTGCCTTACATGACCGCGTGGCCTGCGCTCCCAAGAGGTCTCAGGACTATAGAGGCAACGCATGACCGGGAGAAAAGCACCGATGTCATGATGCAACTCGATGATAAGGCCGGCATCGAGCGTCGAGGTTGTGGCTTGGTGTCTTAAAAGTAAAGTCACGCTCCGCTGCGATGCACCCCCCCCCCCCCTTTCTTCAACAGCCACGGGTCCGAGCCGGCGTGCGTGTGGTGTGCGTGGGCGTACGTGTGCCCCAGACCATACTGGGTTCATTCTCGTAGTGCGCTCAAGAACGTTCCAGATAGCTAATCCAAAAAGGAAAAGGCGCCCTGCCCGTTGGAAATGGCTGGATGGAGATGCTCGAACCTGTGTGGATGCCGCCGGTGCTGGTGTGTGGCTGGGAGCAGTCAGAAGACAAATCGGCGGGACGAACCTCGTACCGTACCGTGCCCGCTCTGCCCGCAAGTCTATCGCCAGCGTACTCGCTACCGTAGGCCAACGGTGCTAATAAAGGTGTGTGTTGAGATGGATGGCAAAGGGTGTGCTGGGCATCATGGCCGCGTGTGGATGGGCTGGGCGCGGCGGGCAAGGTGAGAAGAGAGGGAGCTGGGCCATGAAGGCATTCTTCGCTCGGGGCGAGCATTATAAGATGACGCTTCCCCCGAGGATCAACCCCCTTCTTTCTTCTTTTTGTTTTCGAAAGAGAAAAGTTGAAAAAGAGGAAACGAGCCGGCTACCCAAACCGTCATCATCTTTCAGGTCAACAACTATCAAGCATCCGCCACATCTTGGCACTTCGATAACGCAAGCCTGCCTATTATTAGCAAAACACCCATCTCACTTTACCAAGTGCTCGCGGACGCAACAGGTTCCCTCGCCACAATCCGGCTGCAACAGACAAGGTCTCGGCCAGCGTTGGAGATCGATTTGACGTTTGTGTCGTTGGAAGGACCCAAGGCACAAAGCATAAAGCCGTCGAGCCTCGAGCTTTGCGCTTTGCGCTTCACACTGGGCTGCATATGTGCATAATATCTGGTTGGTCCATCTCTCCCGCACCACCTGCCCACTTGAGCTTCCAAAACGACGAGCCGACCAGTCGATGTCCAGGCATCGCAAGGCCCAAGGGGCGCACATGTGCACGGCTTGTTCGTGCTGCATCCTTGTGTAACGAACTGCACGGCAAGGTGCGCACTCATGCGCCAAGTCGCACCTTATTTGTCGCTGCTTTGTCTGACATGCAGCTTACAAGTTGAAGACTCATTACTGACGCCGAGGCAGCAGACTTGCAGTCAACCTTTATTCCTAGACCTGCCGAACTCGTCGCCCTGCCTTGACGTCTCGTTATACGCGCGTGCAGCAGTTCGCTCAAGGCTGCATATTTTATTCGATATATTCCCATCGCTTGGCACAGCCCCAAGCCGCACCAACAACTCCATCGCCGTTGGATAGCGCCTCTCTCAGCAGCCAAATACCCCCGTCACCGTCTGGTTCAATATACCCCAAGGTGAGACGTCATTTGCGCCCCAGCAACGCTCCAAGCTCACTAGCACATGCTAAACATTGAACGCTGCTGCCCCCCACCCGTGCAGCATTTGAAAGCTGACCTTGGCTCCCCTCAGCTGCCCCTCCCACTATCTTCAGTGCTTTCGACTTTAGCGTCAAGTCCCGTCTTCACACTGAAGCTGAACAAGCTCAGAACACCGGTTGACCCATTCATTACATACCGAGCAACGAGTCTGCCTCTTTGCGACCCAGCCTTGTTTGCATATTCTTGGCCCGGCCAGCATTGGTATATCTCGACCCTGTTCCGCTCTGCACATCTGCAGCTCGACTCTTTCTTGCTTCTGTCTCACGAAACGTGTCTCGGTCGCCGCGATACATTCCTGGTAAGTGCACACTCTATTGTGATTATTTTTATTCTTCGTGCCATCATGGCTGCCATGTCGTCAGTGGTCCCGGACTGTAGCTAGTCGCGGGGATCTGCCCCTTCCGATTCCTATCAATCATTGATCCCCCGCACCTCGTTGATCGCCCTGCATTTCTGGCTGCTAAGTGGCCGCGAGAACCGCCGCCGCCGTCGTGCGCCTTCCAAATGTCCACGGCCAAAACATTGGAAGTGTTGCATCAGCGACCATCGTCGGTTCCAGATTCCATGTTATGTTACCAACCCAAGCCGTGCATCATCGTCATCCTCCCCGTCCTCGTCTGTCCCCTCCTCGACTCCTCCGCTTCTTTCCTTCATCTTCTCAAGCCCCCCGGTGCCTCTGCTGCCGTCTCCTCTCACTAGTCTCTCCAACTACCACCCTCCCTACGCTTGGTAGTGCAACCCTGCACATCCTATTCCTCGCCCGTTTCTTGGCTTGGCCGCAAGCTGAAGCATCCCGAAGCAAACGACTTGGCTAACGGTGTCCCGCAGCTTTAAACAAACGTCGAGGTTTCCCTCTCACACCATCCCAGGTCTGGTCCCAGGACGCCTCCTCAGTCTAGGACTCGGTAGCCCAACCAACCTTGAGCCAACCGCCAGCCAGTCACTCGTCACCGCCCGGGCCTAGTTCGCAGACGCTCGCCGACGCACAGAAAAGGACAGGCCCAGCGCCATCTAGAAGCCTGGACGTGGCTGCAACAAGGAACAGAAATTCACAGAGTCCACCAAGTGGAATTCGCAGTGCCCGCCTCGTCCCGTCTTTTTCGTTGCCTACCGCCCTGCCAAACCATCCACCATTCGCAGCAGCTCCGTACGTCCCTCTCTGGCAAGCCACTGGCTAGTTGAAAAAGCAAACACTTGGCGGCGATAATCCTCCGACGTCGCATTTCCATCTCCCTCTTGCAACGACGACTCCCTCGCCATCGCCAACGCCAACGCCCACCTCCTTCGCTGCTATTGCCATACACTTGGTGTAGATGGAAAGGCAGTAGCATTTCGCTAGCACTTCTGCCGTCTACCATTTCCAGGGTGAGTGAGTAAAGAGCCTTTGACAACTGCCGGCAAATTCCACTATTGTGTACTCCGTGCTCAGCACGCAGTACATGGCCCCTCTTCCATTTCAGAACCCTATCCGCCGCCTCCGACGACACGTATGGCCGTCGCCCTTCCGGCTACATTTATGCTCTTTTTCTATTTCTCATCAGCCCCGGCCTTTCGGCTGATTGTATCGCATAAGCTAACGTGTTCCGCTTCCGCGCAGCCCGCCGTCTATACTTGAGCGCTTCATTAAATCCACGCAGTGTCGCATCGGGCACATAACGAAAACCACACGCCTTCGGCGACCGCACATCTCAGTCGCAACGGCGTACACCACCTCTTGACGGTGCCGTCAACTCCTCCTTCGCAAACCACAAAGCTGGCAACCCTAACATCTCTAGAGCTCCAGAAGCTCAATCTATATACAATGGCCCAACACGGGTTTGGCCACTTCGCTACCGCCCCTAACGGTGGCAATATCGACCCCAATGACCTCGCCATGAATGGCGGATACTCTCCATCCTTCGCCAATGCCAACAACTTCAACTCTGCCTCCAGTAACGCCCCGAACGGTTACTCCAGCGGCAACGCAGTCTTTGGCGACGATGAACTGTTAGATGGCCTTGCCAGTCCTTCCGACGGCCAGGCAGGCATGCATGGTCAAAGCCAAGATTACAGCAATATGAACATGGCCTTCAGCCAAAACGCTTTCCAGTCGCACAGAGGCTCCGGCTTACAGATCGACCCTGCTCAAATGAACGGCTACTCGCAGACACCGGACGGTGACCCCATCCAGAGCCCATATGCTACGGGCTTCACAGCTCAATTCCGTCAGATGCAGAACAACCACTCCCTTGGTGGCTCATTACATTCTCCCATGTCCTACACGGGCTCGCCGCTGGCTGCAGGCGAGATGGGTGCTGACGGAAATGACCCCAATTTTCTCAAGGCCAGAGCCAGAATGTCCCAGCAGATGCAACGCAAAGCCTCGAGCAACCGCAGCCCAATGACGCCCAAGACCAATAGCATTCACGGTATTCCCATCGGCTCCCAGGATTCGCCCGGATTTGGCCCACAAGCCATGCGGCCATCGGGCAGCCATGAGAAGTCGCCATCAGGACAATGGGTCAACACTCCCGCTGGCAGCATCCCTGCCTCATATAATTCCGGCTTCTCTTCACCTATGCAGCAGGGGATGGTGCCCATAAATGAGGTCATGCTCAAGGGAGGCACGTCGATGCCAACCAAGCTAGGTGTGAACCCCAATGCTGTCTCCTCCCAGGAGATGAAGCGAAAGCGCCGTCGAGAGTCTCATAATCTCGTTGAGCGTCGCCGCCGAGACAACATCAACGAAAGAATTCAGGATCTTAGCAAGCTTGTTCCCGCTCACCGCCTCGAAGATGAGAAGATCCGCAAGTTAATCCAAAATGGTACACCCTTGTCTCCCACTTTGACTGGCATGTCCAACCCTTCCCAGGCCACTTCGGGCTTGGCTGGTCCTGGTGCACGACGTGCTGCTGGTAGCAATGCCGGCAACATCACCACTGGTCTGCCTATTGAGGAGAAGGACAAGGGTCCCAACAAGGGCGACATTCTCAACGGCGCCGTCAGCTGGACACGCGACCTGATGTGGATGTTGCACCTCAAACTGCAACAGCAAGAGGAACTCATGAACCAGATCGCGGAGCTGGGCGGTCATTTTCCCTTCGAGCTGACGGATGATGAGAGACGTATGCAGACTGAGCTGATGGAGGCCATCTCCAGGAGCGATGCAGCCACCTTTTCTTATTCACGAACTGCTGGCTCTGGCCTCCGGGTGCCTAGCCACACTGACTATCGTGGTGACCCTGTAAATAGCCTGGCCGCCAACCTCGATGCCATTGGCATAACACCCAACGAAAATGGCACCACGACTATGGCTTCAGACATCAATGACACTGCGCAGTTCTGGAATGATCCTGATGATGACGGCAGCGGCCACGCCTCCCTGGATTTTAAGGAGGATGATGAATACGACATGGACCTTAACTAAGTATTTCATGTCACCCTGGCAGCTTGCATTCATCGGCGTTTACTTTGATTTTTTTTTGTCTCGAATGATAACCGAAGTACGACTTGCGATAGCTTTGGCATTTATGGCATCTTGAGGTTTTCTTCCATACAGTTCGGGAAAGCTGGCGTGGTGGGATACTTCCCATGTTTTTTTGGGTGTCTTTTTAATGCTTGGCTCGCTCCCAGACCAGCGGCGTTGAGGGGTCATACACATATACATACTACACGGAGGTTGGCATGACCCATGGATATTTTGGGCCGGCGGTGTCCGACCCCAACAGGGTTCTATATACAGGGCGCAAAGTTTTACATTATACAGTAAGGAAGGGATGATTGTTTTGGTGGCTCCTTTTTTTTCGTCCTTGTCCGTTTTCTTTCTCTTCATATCGCGCCGTGTTGGCCGTTTCTGCAGATTTGAAATTCCCCCCCTTTTTTTTCTTACTGAATTTTTCCTCTGAGCTTTTGCTACTTTCGGCGTCGTGTCTCAGATATATAATTGTTGATTTTGCGATACCTCGGTTGGCTCTTGTGATCAAAGCCCTCCTCGCCCGTTGTATGGGTCTTTGAAGAAGGCTCCTGTTTTATTTCTAGCTACATTGGAATTTAGTTTTGCGATTTGGTTTCACGAGTGGCATATGATGCAATTATTATTTATGAGCTTTGTGCTGTTTGTTGTATTACAGTGGCTTGCTTGGTGTGCGTGACGTCTTGTCCGCTCCCCCTCTTTCTGTCGGATAGATACCTAGGTAGCTCATGGGAATATGCAAATGCTCTTTTTATTCTGATCCATCTCTCCCAACTAGTGATGTTGAGCGCGTGCATTTCAAGAGAGTGGTAGTTTTCAGTTGTTGCGAATAACTCGGTTACATCACCAATGTCTGGTACAAAGTAGATACTCGCTCATGGCTGTTAGTAACGTCCACGTCTCCTTGCGCTTCATGTCTTCCTGCAGAGCGATCCTCTCCAGCGCACACCGGCCGTCGAAGTACTTGCACATGACGGACCATGCGGCTTTGACCTTGTCGTCCTTGAGGCGGCGCGCAATGGCGGACAGGTAGCGCGACTCTTTGCCCGTGGCCTTCTTCGCATCGAGGATGATGTGCGGCGTCAGCCCGGCGAGATGGGGGCTGTCGTTGACGGAGGGCCGGCTTGTCGGGATGGGGGGTGTTTTGCGTGCGTGCGCCGTCGCCTTGTCGGCTGCTTCGCGGTGGGCTTTCATGGCGATGCGTTCGAGGCGCGCCATTTCCGCGGCGTGTTGGGCCGTGGAGGTTGGTGCTGGGACGCGGGTCTTGGGACTGGGTTCATCGCCGGCTCCGGGTAGGGGTTCGGCGGGATCGGGGTCGTCTTGGGTTGTTAGTTCTTGGTTGGTGGTTGGGGGAGCAGCATAGGTTGGCGATGGGGAGGGCTGGTCATCGTTGCGGTTGTTGTCTTGTGCTGTCGCTGTCGCCGCCGCCGCCGCCGCGAGCTCCTCGGCTTCCATGACATATTCTACTTCGTACAGGATCTCGGGCCACACGACAACGTAGGCGAATGTGCAGAGCTGTGTCACCCATCCCCCTCGCAAGAGCCACGCCAACATGCGGAGGTACAGAGGGCGGTGCGGCTTGCTGGGGCAGAAGGTCTTGTAGGGCCGCGGTGTGTAAGATAATTCCGAGAGAAAGTTGGGCAGCGGCGGTGCCAGCGGGAACGCGCGTTGCCATTCAGCTGCGTCTTTGGGGAGGCGGCTAAGATCGCAATTAGGCGACACTATGTAAACATCTCTGGCGTGTAGAGGTGGTATGGCAATGGCCCGGCGCCAGAATATGAAGTGCTGAGCATACTTGCGGACTTGGCTGGCTGTGAGGACGTTGCTTTGCCCGACCTGGTAGAATCTGAGGAGGTATCAGGATGGGTTTTCTTTGTTTATTATATACTCACGGTTAGGAAAGGGGGACATACGACATGGTGGGTTTGGCTAGACGGGCAAATTCAATCATGGACACTGTTGTTGGGTCTCTATCGGCTTGGAGCTCAGCTACGACTTTTTTCTCATCTTCCAGCAGGAGCAGGGCAAAGTTTTTGTCCAGAAACTCCGGGTCGTCTAGTTGTTCGTGGCTGAGGAAAGAGTTGGCCGTCGTTAGCCAGAGACCATGCTGGCTGTGGTCATGGTCTGCTGGGAGGTCGGAAACGAAGAAAGGCGCTGGAATCTGTACCGATGGAGTCAAAACTCCCGCCGGTGTGTCTAGGTGAAGCGTTGCAATCTTATTGCGAGACACGGCTTCGTATATATCGTGTACAGATGCTGCTAGCGAGGACATCTCAAGCAACTCCTTCCATAGGACGTTCATGCTCTTTTCTGTAGATGAGGGTTAGAAAAAACACATTCTCGACGAATGGCGCGGATGTGGTTAAACGTGACGACTTACCGTCTTCTCGGGCTCTATCCTTGGCTAGCAATATCCGTTTTGACTCCTTCCATACGAATTCGCAGTGCTGCTGGCTGTATTTGTACGCCTTGTTCACCTTCTTTACCACGTTGTGATACAACGCATCAACAAGCTCCTTGTCTTCGCTTTTCTTTGGATTTAAAATAAATACCAGGTTAAACATTGTCATAGAACTGCGCTTCTCTTCGTCCACATCGTCTTTCTTGCCGTCTTTGTCTCTGGCAGACTCTGACGAGATGACGACAGATGGCGTTGGCGGTTCTGTCTCATGGGGAGCCAGGTTTTCCTCCGACAGTCTCGGGGCCTTGGCTTTGTTCGATTTCTTATGGCGCTTCCATTTTCCATTCTCTGGCACGTGGATGGGATATGAGATGCAGTGCACGGGGTCGAGTGACAGCTGAAACAGCTTCTTGTGGTAAGACCGCGCGGGAGTGAGGATGCTGGCCAGATCCCGTGTCGGGAATCCAGCCACACGCTCCCAAGGAACGACTTGAGAGCCAGTCTCCGTCATTAGATGACCATCGTGGTGTCGATGTTTGCTGCCGCCTCCGTCTGTGGCGGTGATATCCCGGCTCATGGGCTGAGCGAGTCGTTGAAGGAGGATATCCCCATCCTCATCAGTGGACTCAACAGGCTGTTTTGGGTGGTTCGTGACGGGCTGGACATCTGGTGGGTAGTGGAAGACAAATGCCGGCCCGTCACGCGAACGGTTGATTATCAGCGCGACAGCAAGGAAGTTTTCGCTGGTAATAGACGACATTGTGGCTGTGGGTGTTTGTGATGGCCGTGATATGTCACATAACCTTCGGAGCTTCCATTCAGGAGCGAAACGCAAAATCGGCGCGTCGCATGACGAGGCCGCCTGAATAGACCAAATTCGTCCACAGCCAAGGTATCCTCCAAATGGGCGTCTGAATTCGCTCGCCTTGAAAGTGAATATTATATGTAGGCAAGAGTCCTTTGGGAGCTATTGTCGAAAGAGAACTGGTGCGACCAATCACATGACCGCTCGCTGCATGTTGTCGGCCACGGCTGTGGTGGCGTCGAGCACTGAGAGTACAAGACCCGTTCGACTACAGACCACCCGTCAAGCTTGACATAACAACTGTATAAGTACCAGACCCTCCAGTAACCTTTCATTCTCTTGCCGAAACTCCCCGATCTTGCTAAAACATCTCGATAATCTGTCTCGGGTACGCCAAGCGATGCTCTCATTCTAGAATTTTACTGAGAGTCCGATCCAGGAGATTGTACAAAGTCCCTCCCCGATTTCGAATCATCAACCGGATCAAGAGAATTCCCCATTGTGCTATCTTTCTCGGGATACATGGGTGAATTCCCATCTATTCCTCGGATGCAACCGGCCACTGGTCACCTACTCGGAACCCTTCTGGATATGGATCGGTAGCATCCAGAACAATCTCTTTGTAGCTTGTGATCCAGCCCCTCCCCGATATATTCGGAACAATGGCATCGAACTTCCCGACCTTGGTTGCATACCGAATGTGCCCCGTGAACTCAGTGCCTATGATACTGTGATGTTTAGAGGGTTCCCCTACTTGCAACTGGCCGCGAGCGTACAAGATGGCCATCCTGGCAGACGTCGCTGTTCCGCAAGGGCTCCTGTCCAGCCTACTTGGTGGGACGATGACTGTGTTTTTCGCCCTCAAACAACCCGACTCTCTTGCGACTGGTTCCGTTATACACACGGTACAAACACCTGCCATTTCTGGTTTCTCCGGGTGCACTGGGGTAAACTGGCTTTGGATGGCCTTGGTCACCCTGTCACCCAACGCAACCAGCTTGCGGCAATGCTCGTTCGACACCGCAAGGCCCAGGGCGCCAGCTTCCACAAATCCGTACCACATGCCGCCCCAGGCAACATCGACGGAAACGATGCCTATTCCAGGCACATCAACCGGAAAACCCAGCTTAGCAACAAATGAAGGGACGTTATCAAAAGCCACCGACTTGCACTTTCCTGCTTGGCATTGCGCTGTGGCAGTAACCAGACCAGCTGCGGTATCCAAAGTAAGAACTGTCTCGGGCTCTATCATTGAAACTATGCCGGTTTCAAGTAGGACTGTTATCGCGCATATGATGTTGGAGCCGGACATGAAAGCGTACGAGTCGTTGCACATGATGATCAGCCCCATGTCGGCCTTAGGATCACACGGCGGTACAAGGACATTAAGGTTCAATGAAGCGCGGCCCCGTGGCTCATTTAAGAGAAGATGCCGCAGATAGTCGGTGGACTCTTGGAAGTTCTGCATCTTTTCAAACATGGACCTGCCTGGTACATCTGGTACACCGCTGACTATAACGTCTCCTACTTCACCTTCGGCATGGCATCCGACAACGCGGATGGGTCGGCTTAGCAGACGTGAGTGCATGGTGGTTAGATCCTTGGCTGGATTTGTTATTCAGACTTTTGGCACAGTTGTGTCAGTGGTGTTGTCGTTCTATTGCCAACTTGGACAAGCAAATCGCCTAAACCGCAGATAGGCCCTGATGTGTAAGGCTGAGAGGATGCCTTGCCTTGTTATTACAGACTTTGAATGAAGTAGACGAGAAGAGTCTATTTCTTGTGCCCTCCGTGCCGTGAAGATGCGGCCGGTCCAACAGACTCCATTCGGAAACGACCCACGCCTTGCAGTTCACATGTCAGCATTAGAGGCATCATTGGTAGCAACTACCTGCTTATAGGTACCTGCATATCCAGGTGGTTCCCAGGGCAGGCCAAGATTGTCCAGATTTGTGCACTCAATGTTCGTGGTGATGTTCATTTTTGAATGCTACCAAATTCTGGAGACTCTACAGTACCTGCTACAATCTGTCCATGGCCACTAAATAGACCACCCTCCCCCCGACGGGGAGTTTCTGAAATATTTAGGACAGAACGGGCGACTAGGGTTTAGCATGTGAAAGGTCCTTGTGTACTTTATACAACAACCCTGCTGTGAGCGATGATTCGATGTGGCTGATTGATATCTCTGTGGCAAGACCACGTGTCAAATAACAGAGCCATCAATTGATACTTGAAGAAAGTACCTTGGAGCTAAAGGTAGGTAAATAGTCCATCGACAGATCGTCCGTTCTCAGCCCAGCGTCCTCAAACTACTCCTTGAGCCGTCAGCGTGATTAGAGCTGTACGGCCTCGTCCGATACATCAGGCTCCATGCCTCCCCTGGGTCTTTGCGAGCCATGACCTTTAAGAGCAATGTAAAAGCATTTACGGATCGTCCAAAAGCACGGGCTGGGTGTCGCGATAATTTGGTTTTGAAGGATTGTTGGTGCTCCACGGACCGGGCCATCGGACGAACAACATCAGCCTTGCGTGCGCGCTTCGAAACATTAGGCTGCCAACGAGTCCTGACGACACGTCATGTTTCCTACCATGTTGGGGGATCGGTAAAGTTGTGTCATCACTCCGCTGTGGACTATAATCGACGGATATTTAAAGGATAGGGTCTTTGAAGGACCTCGAGCCTGTCTGCTTGCACCTCTCAGCTAACTCGCCGATAGATTTTGTGTCTTGTGCAAGAGGCAAAGTGTATCACAAGAATTCAACTTGCGAACAAAAGCGACAACATGACTATAAAGCCAAATGCGAAGGACTCGATGAAGTCCACCTGGCGACTGGCCGATAGGAGCACATGGGCCAGGGAGCACTGGATGATCGAGCTGTTTAACGCGCATCCTGTCGACCTGGACAAGCCCATACCAGTGCATCCCAAGACGGACAAGATGCCACATGTCTCTCAGTGGTCGCAGCATCTATGGATCCTCACTTACGCGCTGCTTCCACTCGGGATCCAAGAGGTCTGGACATCGTTGACTGGGCGGCAGAGCCCAGGCTATCTTGGCCTCTTCGCTCTCTACCTCTCTGCCTCGACCGCCATCGCCATTCGCGAAGTCCATATCCTTCGCCGCCTGGGGCACAAATATGGGTTCCTGGACGGGGACGTAAGTCAGCGTGACGGGGTTCCAGACGTGGGCGTGGCAAAGATTGTCGCCTCTCTCCTCAAAACAACCGGCTCCCGAATCGCCATGGCTCTTTATATGACCCGCAACCATCGCCAATCCCCCGCGGCCTCATTGGGTGACTGGCAATGGTGGGCTTGGCTTGCAGTTGAGAATGGCCTCTATAGTGTCACCCTTGACTTTTGGTTTTACTGGTACCATCGCGCCATGCATGACATCCCATTCCTATGGAAGTACCATCGCACACATCACCTAACTAAACACCCTAACCCGCTCATGACAGCCTATGCTGATCACGAGCAGGAATTCCTTGACATGGTTGGTATGCCCTTCCTGGCCTACATGACGCTCTGGGCTATAGGCTTCCCGCTTGGATTCCATGAATGGTGGATATGCCACCAGTACGTGGTGTATTCGGAGATTTGGGGGCATAGTGGTGTCCGGGCTAATTTCGCGCCGCCCTCGACCGTCGTTTGGCTCCTTGAAGCGTTCCGTATGGACCTTGTGGGCGAGGATCATGACTTGCACCATCGCAAGGGCTGGAGGAAGAGTTTTAATTATGGCAAGCAAACACGGGTGTGGGATCGCATCTTTGGCACTTGCGCTGACCGCATTGAGTCGGCGGCTGGTAATCTTGACTACTCGGACCAAGTGATAATGCCAATATTTTAAGATACATAGGGTTAGTTGAACTATATAAATGCCTTGCTCTGAGTAATAACATGTTGTGGCTGGGTCGAGGCGGGCGTACTTGAGCATTCGGGCATGATAGTAAAAGGGGTCTCGCAAACCAACCAAACTCTGACATGGACATGAAGTCCGCCCAGCTTGGTACGATGGCGCTTTTACCGTACGTATAATTGACAAGTCATTCTTCCCCATGTTGCAGAATTTTGGTCACGGCCAAAGCACTGGTATCCAAAGCCAAGAAATTTATACATACCGGGTAGTGACCTGCCATGTACTCTTCGTGGAGGTCAACATTCCTATCTGGGTTACACAGATGATTTCGTTGTCCATCTATGCCACAGTTGGTGTTGGTCTCGACTCCGTACTTGCAAATATTATCATGTCTAGATTACTTGTATTGCTCCAGCGGTAATAGAAAAGACCAAGGGTGACGGTACAAGACCTCGCGAAATAGTCATGGGCCATCTAATACCATCAAACTGGGTAAAGGTGGCAAGCAAGTCAGCGCAACACACGGTCAGAGATGGGAGCTCATGGGTGAACTTGGGCCGAGGAAGCAGTGGCCCTATAAACACAATCGGTTTGCTTACTACATCTCAACTTGGCGGTCCAAATGAAAAATAATAGTACCTCACGTCGCTACAACTCATGTTTAAACTGGCAGGATCCCTTATCAGCTCAGTGACCAACTAGCGGTCAGATGAGACAGAGAGTTGAACAAGCCACGGCAAGGCACAGCTGCAATATGGAGGCACACCATGTAATCAGCTCTGGCACTTTTCCGGCATCGAAGGTGCCTCTCGCACATGTCTCTCCTGTCGCCTGCCCTTGTCTATCAACTAGTGCAACGAGGCCAGCCATAAATGATGTGCGGGATCGAGGGGAGGGGTTCGCAACACGCTTCAGGGGCGAACGGCTTGAGGGCATTGTGAATAGAACCAGATAGGAAATGGGTGTGTCACACACTCACAAGGCTTACGCATCTCTTGCGCAAAGCATGTCATATGGAACAAGCACGGAAGATGGCTCGGCAGCCGAGCAAAGCAGGCCTGAGCACGAGCTTGAGCTTGAGCATCGATCTGGTCGAGCATGGATGGCATCGACATGCCGCCACCCCCTCTCTCTCTCTGCACCAGAGGTTCCTTTGCAGCGAGGCAACGCAGTTATCCATGTACACGCTTCCGATGCATGCGCATGCTTGCATGGCCGCAACGTCGAGGGAGGTATATGAGGGTAAGGCGTGAGCTAACCCCGGGAAGGCTTTAGCTCAAGCTGCCTGCACAAGAGACGTTTTCGCCTCAGATGTTGTTTCGGGCGATGAAAACCACCAACAAACCAAACACAGCGGGCGGGACGTGCAATGCGTTTCTCCCCAGAGGAACACGTGCTCCGTGCTCGGGACAAGTTTAGAAAATCATGGACCAAAGGAGCCCCCTCAGCTGCGTAGTGTTTGATAGCTCTGCCGTGATGGAGGGGATGAACGGGCGGCGGCTCATGCGGGCTTTCGAGAAACATACTCCGTACATCAATCCTGAAGGAGAGGAAGCTCTGTGACGTCGCTGGCCGTTTCCAAATGTTCCAGATATTCTTGTATCCGGATGTGCAATTGCGGGTCCGATAAGTTGCCCCAACCCTTTTCCGTGTCCACCTAGCCAACGAGCGTGGCATTCCGTCTCGTCTGTTTGCAATGGCTTCCAGGGTCTGGTCCGATGGCGCAGATGTTCATTCTAAAGTCTGGTGCCTACATGTAACTCGGGGCGGCTTAGGGGGCAAGGGCAACTGATGCTGTGCGCAGACTACGTACCAGTGGACTCGGCATGTTCCAATGCCTCGGTGCTGAGTGGAATCAAGTCTGGTCAATGCTTCCAGATTGTCCCCTGGTGCGTGCCCCGTGCCTCGGGGTGCCTGTGATGCAAGGAAGGGTCGATGGTGGCTCCCCGGCCGCTTCTGCCTCCCCCTTGCCCCCCTGTTCTCCTTTCCTGCTGATTGGACGGCTGTGCCCAACAAATTTCATCCACTGAAGCCGGGACTTGGAGGCTGGAGCCTGCCACGCGCCCCTCGTTCTCCTGATTCGTCTCTCGTCCGCCATCTTGTCCAAGATGGCGACGGTCTCTTGTGTACACTGCAGCCTGCATCTGGTCAGTAAAACACAATCCAGATCATCAGTCTTTGCTTTCAACGCGTCTGCGGCAGCCGCATGCGAGTCGAGTTGGCCTCGGGGGCCCGCATCTTCAGCCAAGCACCGTGGCACCAAACCTCGCCTGATCAAGCCACTCGATCAACGGCCAGATTGACTTGGCTCATTGACTGATTGACGCCTTGAGAGTACGGAGTACTCCGCTACCACTGCCGCTTTCACATGGGCGCGACGCTTCCTTTAACTGGCCCACCCACGCTCAACCGCATCCTCTAAACCTCCCATTTTGCTTTAAACTACTCCTTGGAAGGGCAATAGGTCGTGTGCGCTGTTCCAACGTCACCTCGACTGCAGGCCTCGGTATCGCTTCTCAAGAGTTCCTGTGTCCTTCTTTGAGTTGTCTATAAGTCTTCTGCTTCACGCTTCTGACAGCAACCGCCGCCGTGAAACCTGGTGCGCGTAGCCTCGTCTGCGCGAATCCGCCCTGAAATTGACGGCACCCACCATCTCGAGGTTAATGAAACACCAGATAGCCGCCCGTTTTTTACTTTAATTCTTTGCCTCCTTCTTTCTTTTTATTTTCTCCTCCCCTGCTTGGTTGGACGGACAGCCCTGTCGCTTCATCCATCATGTCGCCTGCCGCTGCAGTCTCTGCTGCCGAACATGGTCACGTTCGCTTCATCCCCCTGAAATACGACAACAGTGACTCTCAACGCTCGGCAATGAAACTCATCCTCACGCTGTTTCCTCACTGGGCCGGGGACGAAGCTCACATCGATTTTGTCCGTTTCACCGACGGCATCACCAACACCTTGCTCAAGGCAGTCAACCGCCGTCCGGGGCTCACCAAGGCTGACATCGACAAGGATGCTGTCCTGCTCCGAGCCTACGGAAACGGTACCGATGTCCTTATCGATCGTGAGCGTGAGGCAGCAAACCATGAACTCCTCATGAGATACCACCTGGCTCCTCAGCTGCTGGCTCGATTTGGCAACGGCATGCTCTACCGCTTCATCCCAGGCGCGGTCGCTCAGCCCAAAGATCTGGCCGATCCTCTCATCCTCAAGGCTATTGCTCGACGACTAGCACAGTGGCATGCCACTGTGCCATGTATCCCAGACTCGTCCCTTCGGCGAAACAGCTCCACTAACGGCGACGCCAATAATCATGCCCTCCTGCTGAACGCCGCCGCCGGAAAGCCTATCCCCAATGTCTGGACGACGATGCAGAAGTGGATCTTGGCCTTGCCTACAGACACAGAGTCGCGTCGTGAGAGACGAGCTCTGCTGCAGGAAGAGCTTGAAAACATGGTCAAGCGTCTTGCCCACCGCCCTGGATTGGGTAACAATGGGGTATGTTGCCTGAGACACTCTACCCTCCCCCCTCGGTCCCTTCCTCAGTCCTACATCCGACCTTCACAAATTGACGTTTGCTAACCGACACGTGAATGTATAGCTGGTATTTGCTCACTGCGACCTCCTCTGCGCCAATGTAATTATTCATCGAGATGGCAGCACGGAGCCGTCCGTTAGCTTCATTGACTACGAGTATGGAACTCCATCGCCGGTTGCCTTTGACATTTCAAACCACTTTGCCGAATGGGTGGGCTACAATTGCGACTATGCCGCTATTCCCACCAAATCACAGCGTCTTGCATTCGTCCGGGAGTACATTGCCTCATACGCTAAATTATCTGGCGAGGCAATGGACGAGGAAGAAGAGACTCGGAAGCTGATGGAGGAAGTGGATGTGTTCCGGGGTGTTCCCGGCTTCTTCTGGGGCATCTGGTCCTTGATCCAAGCCATGATCTCCCACATCGACTTCGACTACGCCTCATACGCCGAGGAGAGGCTCGGCGAGTATTGGGCCTTCAAGGCTGAAGATGACGGCACCCGTGCAGCCTCCGGCAAGCAAATGCCCCTACGAGAAGAGAAATGGGCGAGCAGCGAATGATGAGTGTGCCAAGTGTACACACCCCACAGAAGAGATGGGTGAGCTAGGCCGTGAGAACAGGATAAGACTGAGACCGGAAAAAAACCCGGGGGGGTGTAATTGCCAATGCGCTCGCCTTCATCCGGAATTATCAGTTTGTGGTCATAAGTATTTGACCACTACGTGGCGTTGAGCGACTCCAAAGGGGTCGAACTTCATGAACCCCCGCTGTAGTACCTGATCTAGCCTCTGTCACCCCAAAAAAGAATCGTAACGATTGATTCTGGACAGAGACAGGACATAGCACGAAAAACATTGCGGTTCCACCTAGGCGGGTGCGGGTATTTTCTTGGTAGGGTCAGGCGCGGCGTTGGTATTTCAAACAAGCTGCCTAGTGGTCCATTTGAGACAGAGGAGAGACAGCTCAACCGTGGCATTATACATATAGATGGAGGAATGGCCATTCAAGTTAAAAGGCAGCCATTCAACATGACATACAGTAGCTTCGCAGGCGCCCGGATACGTACTGATTATTTTCAGCATACTATACATTATACAGGAGTAAATACATGGCGGCAGTTGTGGAATTCATGAATAATAAAAGGGCACAGCGCGGCCTAGATCAGCAAACCAATGCTTATCAGCGTGACCCTTTGACGTTTCGGAATATATTCATCATGGCCTGCCTTCGGTTTGCCTTGAGAAAGAATAAATGTTGGGTTGAAAGCAACATGGCCAACACAGAAGACTTTATCTGATTAGCAGGTTATCAAGTGTTGCTGCTGGAAGCATCCAAACGCCGATTGTTATTTTAATCTCATCCCTAATACTACCGCAGGTGGGCTTATGCACGGCATTACCCACGGTCCTTGCTCCGGCTGTCGCATCCCTATACAGAAGACTCCCTGCTCCT